GGACATCCCAGTAGCTGGGATGATCCGTCTGACAATATGGCCAGGCGACGTGGTGAGGATGATGGTTACACCTTGACTCTAGGGTCAGTGTAGATCAAATTTCAGTGACATCAGAGATGGAAGGAGTTACAGAACTCCATTTATATGTATGCCATAAAATCCAACTCACCAGGAGCCTTGAGAGTGGATAGGCCCAGCTCCATAGTCACGACTTCTCCATGGCTGACAGGGCCTGTGCTAATGACCCGATGATGCAAAAAGACTTGGAAACACAAAGCTGGCTGTGACTTGTCAGAAGGTTGCAAGTTTCAGGAGGTTGCCAGTTTCTATGTGGATTATCTCTCAATATGAGATTATCTGACTTAATCCTCACGCTTCTCGTTACAGTTATCAAGCCATTGTGGCTTAGCTCAAACACAACTTTCTGAACTCTGCTCTGCAGTGCCACTTTTGTAACACTATAAACGTCCTTTTCTTTTTCTTTTTAGTTCCATCTAAGATTTTGTCAATGGTGGTGGCGGGAACAGAGGAAGACGGGAACAAAAAAGGGAGGAAAGAGACTAGTTCCCCTGTGGTTGCTTGCTGTTCCTGTCAGTAGCATCTCACCCAGTGGCTCTTCACCATGGCAGCAATGGGGACATCAAAACATTCACAAAAAAATATAAAGTACGAACTTACAGTGGTACTAGTTTTGAAATCTATGTATTTTTTTTTAGGGACCAGCAGTTAGCATAATGGCTATATCATTGGACTCCCATGTAGTTGACCGCGGTTCGAGTCCCAGACCCAGTGGCTTAAAACCCACGCTGGGTGCTTGTGCATGCCCAAGATCCTGAGAGGAGAACAGAGGAGAAGGGATTGTGGCGTGGCCATCCCCCCTGGGGGGTGATTTCTCACATTCTGTCTCTCTGTCTTTCTCTCTCTGTCTGGCGATTGCACACGCCCCATAGCAAAAACCTCTCAAAAAAAAAAATACCATGTATATTTTTTATAACACACATTTTCCATGTCTTTTTGAAGATCATGTATATGTCCCAGTCCTCATCATCTTTGTGCACTTGAAGAAACAGCCTCATTACCCACCCCACCCCTGACCCCCAAGAAGCTCCAGTACTAGATAAATGGCACAGCTAGTTTCTGGTAAACCCACTTTCTCTTTCTCTCTTGGCTCTCTCAACTCCAGCAGTGGTGGTTACTGCTTGCAGTTATTAGCTATTAATATATGTATATATATAAATATATATGTATGCATATAGTAGTATAAACATAGTATATATATATTATATATTATTAGTATATATGTTTAATATGTTTTGATCCTCTAATGTCTTGTAACTAGTTCCCTGTGTTAAATTCTCTCTATTGAAAAATTTTTTTTTGGAGAGGTTTTTCCTACAGGGCGTGTGTGCTCGCCAGACAGACAGAGAGAAATCCCCCCCCGGGGGGATGGCCATGCCACAATCCCTTCTCCTCCATTCTCCTCTCGGGATTTTGGGCACACATGCACAAGCGCCCGGCATGTTTTAAGCCTCCAGGTCTGGGACATGAACCGCGGTTGACTACGCGGGAGTCCAGCAACATAGCCATTATGTAACTGCTGGTTCCTCTATTGAAATTTTGACAAGCACTTTTAACACATGCTACTCAAGTGGTACAAATAGAGACTTTGAAATTCTTTGTTTTATGACACCTGAGATATTAAGACTGTCTTAAAATACAGATACAGAAATTAAAATAACAAATCAGAAAATTGTAGAATGCTGCAAAATTGATATATAATAGTGACACCAGAAGATCTCAGAAATGTGTTGCTTGTTGTCATTCTATTTCCATTTCTGGTATACAATAAACCACTGTTTACTTTGGTCTGTATCCTAAACAATGAACAATATATAATGCATAAATGACAGAGTCTTCTGGTTTCAAAACCCCTGTGCATATTCAGTTCCTAGCAATAAGGGAAGACAAAGGCATGGCACGCCGATTTCTATTGGCCAATTCCATATCCATATTGGCATTGGTAGGTACTCACCACTCCAGCCACGTACAAAGCCATTCTAAGTCCTTTTGAAGTTAGCCGTCCAGGTGACCCCCACTATTTGATCAAATTTGCCACATAAGAGGAACTTATTTGTCATTCCTGCAATCAATCATAGAGTTCATCACAATTTATTTAATTTGGTGTCTGGTGTGTTTCTCAAGCTGCTGGGCCAGGACTTGAATCACATGGTTGTCCACATGGAATCCAGCTGCCATAACCACCAGGCCATAGAGTCTATCTCCAAGAAGTCCTTTATAACCCAGGCATTTAACATCAGATTACAGAAGAATTTAAACAGAATCACATGTTTTGATGGCAGTGAAATAACATCTATTTAAAGTTATATTGCAGAGAGAAAAAAAGAGATGAAATGTTTTGGGTTACCCACCATGGATAATAGCCAGTACTTATTCCAAATGTCTCCACAGAATGCAAGACAAGAATGTCTGGAAAGACCTTTTGAAACATTTTTCTTAGATGCTTTAAGTATGAATTTCAGTCATTCTTATAGCATCCTGCATTCCTTTGTTATAATTCTCTTCTCCCTTATAATGATAGGTTCAATGTCTAATTTTCCCTATAAAATGCCATGCTCTGTATGGAGAACAAGCTTGTGACCACCACATAATCCACAGTATTGGAAATACAGAGATATTCAATTGACACATTTCATTAGCTAATTTTTTGGAGAAGGTGGTAGAGAGAAGATGAAATTTCTACTATATAACGAGTTTATGATTTGCTGTGAAATATTGGGTCATCAGAAAAGTCATGACTGTTTTTCTATGTAAAATGTGTCATGACTTTTCTGAAGACTCAGTATTTACCTTTTCTCTTTTTCTAGTTAGGATGATGGCTATAGGCCTATATATTTAGAAATTAAGGTGTAATATATATATTTTTTAAGAGAGATTTTTGTTATAGGGTGCATGCAGTTGCTGGAGAGACAGAGAGATAAAAAGCACAAAATCATCCCCCAGGGGAATGGCCATGCCACAATCCCTTCTCCTCCAGTCTCCTCTTGGGATTTTGAGCATGCACATACATGCGCCCATCATACATTTTGAGCTGCCAGGTCCAGGACTTGAACAGCCATCAACTATGTGGGAATCCAGCGATGTAACCATTACACCATCTGCTGATCCCATGGAAGGTAAGGTGTAATAGTTTAAACCAGATCACTCAGATTATGGAAAAACATAAGGTAACATCAATACACCCAACACTTACTAATAGTTTGTTTATTATTTAGTTGATTACTTCATTTTTCATCATCATACAATAATTCTCTTTTAAACAATACTGTTATTCCTGAAGATGGTCACATTAAATTCTTTCTTCCTTCTACAGCAGTAAAGTGGTACACTCAGTTTTTTTTAATAGAACATTTGAATATCAAGAAGTGTAGATAACTGAAAATAATGAATGGACCAAACTCCATGAAAAATGATTGCACACTCAGTTGAAGGTCTAATGCAATTATAGTGGTTCACATACATTCCAGAGGAAACACCAGAGGTCTCAAGGGGACACAGAAGCTGGGAGGGTCAGTGGGTATAAGTGACTCCCTTAAGACCAGTTTGGCAGCTTGGAAACTTGAGGTTTAATACTGGCCCAGTACCATCACCCTTTCTAGCCAGGACGGGTCCTCCAGGCATGCTTTGGGAAGTTGGCAGTGTCTTCCCGGGGGGAAAAAAAATCCTCCAGTTAATTGCCCAATCATTCCTAAATGACCCTATTTACATTGGCCTTTAACTTGAAAGTGAGTGGGACCCAGTCAGAGGAGTCATGTGTATGGTGTGTGTGTGTGTGTGTGTGTGTGTACACAGGTGCACAGGCATAGACACTGCAGTGAAGAGAACACAAGGGGAACTGAAGGAGGAAGAGGATCACGAGGAAGGAAGGGGGCAAAGAAGGAAGGTCACAGAAAGGAAAAAAATAAAGATAAAAAGGAGAGACTTGGGAGGGTGGTAAAAAGATAGAGGTGAGAGGAAGATAGTGTCCTCACAGTGAGACCAGAAGGATGATGTTCCTCTTCGTCCTTCCTCCCTGCTCATCAGTTCTTGTCTCACCACCAGGGTAAGGATGGCAGTGGTGGCCTCACTCTCCTTAAAGTCAGGATGCATTTTCTGCATATATTTGAATCAAAGGATAGCAAATCACTAGCAGCAAGAAGATGTGATCGATCCCGCCCAACTGGCCTACTGCATCTTCTTTGGCAATGATGAAAAACTTGTCCCATGGGGCACTTTAAGTGAGGTCCTTGCATTGGCCCCAGTGAGACATCCAACTTGTCTGCTAGCCTTTGATCTGGAAGTAGGGGGATCTTGGAGGCAGATGTATTAGAAAGTATAAAATACTTTTTCAGTCTTTATCTGCTAAAAAAAAAAAAAAAAAAGGCAGAGAGGGGAATGAAACCAACCTGTGTTTCCAGCCTCATTACGGCTTCATGCCCAGTTCCAGGTAGGGAAGGCCATGGGCTGGTAAGTGAGGTGTCCCGAGGGGTGTTCTAACTGTAAAGGTTAAGAGCACACTCTGGGCCCTCCCTCTCTGGCTGCACAGTGGGTGTATCTATGCCATGGATGCTTGGGAGAGTACAGGAAAGGTAGCGCTTTCTGGACAAGTGCCCGTGGAGCTGAGAGCTGGGACAGCGGCATGCCACAGGCAATACTGAAAACAACACCGCAGAGTCCACGGTGGTCAAATGCTGTGCTCTGAGTCTCCAGCCTGAACTCACATTGGAGCTCAGGCACAGTGGGCATGAGAAATTGAGGGCAGATTGTGAACACTCTCTT